TGGCTCCTCGAGTCGTGCCTCGCGTCTCGCCGATCGCGAGACTGTGTTCGCAGCAAGTGCCGGGGCACGGCTGGGAAATCTTGTGGCTCGCGAGCCATAGCTCGCGGCGAGTGCACCTGCCGTGCGGAGAGGTTAAGGCTCACTCGATCTTGACTCGAGAATGGCCCGGACGATTCGGAAATGGTTAGGCTATGTTTTGGACGGCTCAGAAATGTCTCGGAAGGGCTCGTCTTCCTAAAGTTGAACAATGCGGACCTAATCAACACCAAAATAAGCAAGAGAATATGGTAAAACAAAAAAAATACAAACCGAGAACAAAAATGCACAAAATACGATAAAATGAACCGGTCGACATTAAAACGAACCTAAAAATGACTCGACTAACGCACATAAAACACAAGAAAACACCACTAAAACATAACAAATTACCCACTCTCCTATTGTGTGCTTGAAGAAAGCCGGAGTGAAAAGCTCGAAACTTACATAAAAATAAAATCGTCGGAAAGTCGCTGAAAAATTCGATTCATAGATCTCCAACCAAAATAGAGTGAAAAATAAAAGAGAGAACCTTTCCCAAGAGGGAAAAATAGAAAAAAGAAGTCTAGCTCCCTAATTTCAAAGGGAAAAAACATATTTATACTATTGACCCAAAACACACACTAAAGCATAAAAATTTAATGAATTTTTCAGTTCGCCGGGTCGCAAAATCAATTTCGCTGCGAGTGTGCATAGTGGTGGATGGCTGGTAGGACGCGTTCGCAGGGTCTCGAAAGGTGGTTCGCTGTGAGTGCCGCTGGGGCTGGGGGCTCTCGGCTCGCGAGATCACGAACACTCGTTCGCAGCGAGTGTGCGGTGATGGGCGCGCGGTCAGGCTCGCGCGAGCGTGAGTGGCATTTCATAGGGAGTGGGCGTCTGGTGCTGCTATAGCGCGCGGCTGGGCTCGCGCGTACGCGAATGGCGACTCGAAGCGAATGCGGCATTGGTACAGGCGTTGCATGCAGGGCCCGCGGGGTCGCGACTTGGGTCTCAATACAAGTGCTTGTGGTCAACTCTGGTTCGTCTCACGCGGCTTCTCGCACGCTCGCGGACAGGAGTTCGCAGCGAGTGCCTAACGCGGCTTTTTGCGCGATCGCGAACAGAAGTTCGCAGCGAGTGCCCGGCGCGGCTTCTCGCGCGCTCGAGAACAGTGTTCGCAGCAAGGTCCGGGCAGCTGGGCACGGGTCTCGACTCCTTAACACGGGTACCGGCTCGTATGGCTAGGGTGGCTCAGGTGATGGCTCGAATATGGTTCGGACAACTCAGAAATGTCTTGAAAATGGCTCGTCTTCTTGAACTCAAACAATTTGGACCTAACCAACACCAAAAAAGATATGAAAATACGCCGAAATGCAAAAACACAAGACAGAAATGAAAATACATGTATTACAATAAAATGGACCGCTCAACTCTAAAATGAACCTAAAAAGACTCGACTTAAAGCACGGAAAACACACGAAAAACACGGAAAAAACATAACAAACACTGTGGTCCCTAATCAAGCCCCCTCTTTTGGCAGCTCCGGTAAGTTGGTCGTAAGATCCGTCGGTGTTTAGCTTAATCCAAGGGGAATCGGGTCTCCACTAAACAACGACTCTGGGAGTGGGTGTTGGACAGGCGGCAGCCGGGATGATATGAGGCAGTGTGGTGGCATGCACAGCCTATCCAGTCTCTGGGTATGGGTATGCCCTGGGCTGTGAGAAGTGACAAGTGTCGCTCAACCTTCAAAACAACGTGAGAGCACATAAAAGTAAAACCCCTATGCTTCGCACTATTCATTTCTGTCAAGATGGACCACAAGATAAGACAAGGAATGAGGAAGCCCACGTGTCTATAGTGTGTGCGCAGTGAGGAGAAACTCAGAAGCTCAAAAAACATGTCTCTGGTGGGAATGGATATATGAGTATAAGTGGCAAAATGCTCCCACACTCTCCTTGCAACCTCCCTCTTTGAAAAAAAAAATGGGAGAAAGTCTCCGTCTGGAAATGTCCGGTCTCGGTGCAGTAGTAACATCGCGAGGGGAAGAATAAACCCCTCGCCTGCATCACAGTGTCAATCTTGAAATAAAAACTTACACATGATGATCAAGGGAAAAGTGTTGAAGAATATGGGGTTTTGTTGAAGGCGCGAAGAAACACGAGGAGCAAGAGATTAAGAGGATTTCAGAAGCAGGGAGTGCGAAAAGTGATTCGATGAAGAGTTGGAAACTATTTATAAGAGAAGCAATGAATTGCCCACCCTTGGATCAAAGCAATATCTAACGGCTCAGATAAGGCACAGAATACGAAGAGGCAGAAGATGAAGTGACGCTTCAATTCAAAATTCAAAATTCAAAAACTCAAAATATTAGAATGTCAGAGATGTTTTGTCACCAAATTTACTCTTAA